AGCGCTGAAGATTCAATAGTTGCGTGCTGGCACGATTGAAGATGATCAGACGATTGTCTTCAAATTTGGCACCTTCCCCCCGCAACGAAAACAACTGCGTGTAGGGACATAAGAAGAGGGACCTTGGAGGGACGTTGTATTACAACATCGATGATGCGTCCTCCGTCTCATTCCTCCTCCCTCCTCCCTCCTCCCTGTTTCCATCCTCAGTCCTCCCTCTTCCCTCCTCCATCCTCCCTTCTCCCTCCTCCGTCCTCCCAACTCCTCCCTCCTCCCTCCTCCCCCGTCCCACCTCCCTCCTCCCTCCTCCCAACTCCTCCCTCCTTCTCAACCCTCCTCCTCCTCCTCCTCCTCCTCCTCCCCCTCCTCCTCCTCCTCATCCTCCTCCTCCTCCTCCTCCCCCTCCTCCTCCGCCGCCTCCGCCTCCGCCTCCGCCTCCGCCTCCGCCTCCGCCTCCTCCTCCTCATCCGCCTCCTCCTGCAACGCTTCCTATCCCCCCTCCTCCCCCTCCCCCTCCTCCTCCTCCTCCTCCTCCTCCTCCTCCTCCTCCTCCTCCTCCTCCTCCTCCTCCTCCTCCTCCTCCTCCTCCTCCTCCTCCTCTGTTTCGTCTTCTTACTATTAGTGGTCTTCGTATTATGAATCTTTTTAGTAGTATCACCATTAGTAGTGCTAGTATTAGTATTGTTCGTCTTTTCATTGTATTACGTATTAATAGTACTCGTAGTAGTAGTATTAGTATTAGTAGTATTAATAGTATCAGTAGTAGTAGTAGTAGTAGTAGTAGTAGTAGTAGTAGTAGTAGTCGTAGTAGTAGTAGTAGTAGTAGTACTTAGTTAGCAGTCGTAGTATTATTATGATGAGTGTTCTTAATACGATTCGTCTTATTAGTACTCCTCTTATGAATAGTATTAGTATTCTTGCCTGTACTATTATTATTACGAATGCTATTATACACGTTAATATTATTGATAATAATATGATTATTCATAATATTATTATAAGCATTAATATAATCAAAGGCAGCAGCGTGGAATAAGGATTCCCCGCTGCAATGTCCCGGCGGAGAACCGCGGGCCACGCGGGGGCTCGTCGTCGGGCCCTCCGCCAGTGGCTCCTCCTTCTTCTCCTTGTCGTCCCCCGCCCCCTGCCCCCCCCAGCCCATCCCTCTGCTGTTGCTCAGTCTTCCTCCTCGCCCTCGTCGTCGTCGTCGTCCTGGTCGTCGTCGTCGTCGTCGTCGTCGTCGTCGTCGTCGTCCCCCTCCTCCTCGGCATCCATTTCCACCCCCTCATTGTCCTCCTCCTCCTCCTCCTCCTCCTCCGCCTCCTCCTCGGCATCCGTCTCCTCCTCCTCATTGTCCTCCTCCCCCTCCTCACCATCCTCCTCCTCCTCCCCCTCCACTTCCTTCCTCCTCGCCATCCTCGTCCTCGCACTAAGGCGCCTACGCGCCACCTTCCGCGGGCAGCTTACGCACAAGTGCACGCGCAATCGACCCCCTTGAAACCCTGCGGGTTCGCCCTCCCGCGGGCGCTTTGAAATGTGTCGCCCGATTGCGGTTGCGGTTGCGCCCTCCCGCGGGCGGATTGAAATGTGTCGCCCGGTTGCGGTTGCGGTTGCGGTTGCGCCCTCCCGCGGGCGGGGTGAAATTTGTCGCCCGCTTGCGGTTGCGGTTGCGCCCGCGGGCGCTTTGAAATGTGTCGCCCGGTTGCGGTTGCGGTTGTGGTTGCGCGCTCCCGCGGGCGGGTTGAAATTTGTCGCCCGGTCGCGGTTGCGGTTGCGCCCGCGGGCGCTTTGAAATGTGTCGCCCGGTTGCGGTTGCGGTTGCGGTTGCGCGCTCCCGCGGGCGCTTTGAAATGTGTCGCCGGGTTGCGGTTGCGGTTGCGCGCCCGCGGGCGCTTTGAAATGTGTCGCCCGGTTGCGGTTGCGGTTGCGGTTGCGCGCTCCCGCGGGCGCTTTGAAATGTGTCGCCCGGTTGCGGTTGCGGTTGCGCGCTCCCGCGGGCGCTTTGAAATGTGTCGCCCGGTTGCGGTTGCGGTTGCGCGCTCCCGCGGGCGCTTTGAAATGTGTCGCCCGGTTGCGGTTGCGGTTGCGCGCCCGCGGGCGCTTTGAAATGTGTCGCCCGGTTGCGGTTGCGGTTGCGGTTGCGCGCTCCCGCGGGCGCTTTGAAATGTGTCGCCCGGTTGCGGTTGCGGTTGCGCGCCCGCGGGCGCTTTGAAATGTGTCGCCCGGTTGCGGTTGCGGTTGCGGTTGCGCGCTCCCGCGGGCGCTTTGAAATGTGTCGCCCGGTTGCGGTTGCGGTTGCGGTTGCGCGCTCGGGTTGCGCTCCCGCGGGCGGTTTGAAATGTGTCTCCCGAGCTGTCCCCTGACGTTCAGTCAGTCAGTCATCAGTCAGCCGACGGGCACGGAATTTCACCCGGCTCCGCCGGGAACTATGATTTGTCCTTCTCCTCCTCCTCCTCATCCTCCTCCTCCTCCTCCTCTTCCCCCTCCTCCTCCTCCTCCTCCTCCTCCTCCTCCTCCGCCTCCTCCTCCTCGCCTCTTCCTCCTCCTCCTCCTCCTCCTCCTCCTCCTCCTCCTCCTCCTCCTCCTCCTCCTCCTCCTCCTCCGCCCTCTCCTCCCCTCTTTCTCCCCCCAAGTGTTCCCCCCCAGGGGTATAACGGCTCGGGAAACAGATTGCCCAAGACCTTTCAAGACTTCAGCCCAACCTTTGGCCACATAGGCGTTTCCAACAAGCAGGGGGCGGCGGTGGTTCACCACAGGTATCTTCGATCCGCCGCGCCGTGCCTGGCGTGCTGCCTTACAAGGTATTGGATGGCAATTCAAAGAAGTTACCAACGGGCGTCGGCCAATCCCGGCCGGCACGCAGAAAAACCGTAAAAATAGGAAGACTCGCCTCCAAAATAGCGCAAGATGGCCTCCAGGATGATTCCAGGACGCCTCCGAGACGGCCAAGCTGGCCCCTAGAGAGCCCAAGACGGCCATAACCTGCCTCCAAGAGGGCTCAAGACGGACCCATGGTTGGCCTGAAGACGGCCCGAGGGGCAGCCCAGACGATCAAAATTACTCCATGAGGACCTCCAGGAATCCACCAGGAGGCTAAAACTTTGGACCGTCCTAGAATAGTCCAATAGATGTCGCGCTCTCGCCCTCTCGGGCCTCCGACAGCCAACAACTGCCGCAAAAGGGCCCAAGGAGGCCCCAAGACAGCCCCATAGACGGCCCAAGGGAGCCCAAAATTACCCAGGGACGTACCCTACCCTTACTAAACACATGGCGGTTATACCCAGGACTGACTACCTACCAGACCACCCCAACCCAACCCGAAGACCCGAATTTGACCCGAATTTCGGGTTGGGGGGGGTACGGATACCATGTGTTTTTTCAACGTTCCCCGACCCCCCCCCACTGGAAATCGAGGATAAATTTGGGCCTTCGGGTTGGGTTGGGGTGGTTTGGTGGGTGGTGAAGGACCGCTCAGTACAAACCAACACGTTGAAGGAGCCGCAGTGCGCAGAAGCAGCCAGACGTGACATCAGAAGAGCGCAGCAGCGAGAGTAACGACAACAATTCCACTCCGCGTGTAACTCCACTCCGCGTGTGACCAGAGGTGAATTCCGCGTGCAACTCCAGTCCTCAGCCCCCCAGGGAGCCGCGAGGTCTCGTCTGGGTCCGCATTTAACTCCACTCTGCTGGACCTCCGAGAAGCCCACGAAAATGAAGACGGTTGCGCAGCTCGCAGCAAACCAGGAATCCGTGAGGTCCCGTCTGGATCCGCGTTAACTCCATTCCGCTGGACCGCCCAGGAGCCCACGAAAGTGGTGACGGTTGCGCAGCTCGCAGCACCCCAGGGAGCCGCGAGGTCCCGTCTGGATCCGCGTGTAGCTCCACTCCGCGGGACCGCCCCGGAGCCCACAAATATGGCGACAATTGCGCAGTTCACAGCCCCCGACGGAGCCGCAAAGTCCTGTCTGGATCCGTAAGTAACTCTACTCCGGTAGACCTCCCAGAATCCCATGAAAGTGGCGACAATTGCGCGATTCGCGGCCCCCCACGGAGTCACGAGTTACTGTCTGGATCCGCCCAGGAGCCAACGAAAGTGGCGGCAATTGCGCAGTTCGCAGCCGCGGAGGGAGCCGTGAGGTCCAGTATGGATCCGCGTGTAGCTCCACTCCGCGGGACCTCCCAGGAGCCCACGGAAACGGGGACGGTTGCGCAGTTCGCAACCCCCAAGGAGCCGCGAGGTCCCGATTGGATCTGCTTGTAGCTCCACTCTGCGGGGCGCCGTCTGGATCCGCGGGTAACTCCACTCCGCTGGAACGCCCAGGAGCCCATCCCAAAGGGAGCGGCGAGGTCCCGTCTAGATCCGCGTGTAAGCAGTTCGCAGCCACCCAGGGAGCAGCGCAGGAGGAGGCACGAGGAGGCACGAGGAGAGAAGTGGAGACAGACCGCAGTGCTCCATTCAACACGAGAACCCAGCGCTTTGAAGTCCGCCAGCGACAGGTGGTGCAAGACGGTCAAGCGCTGGCCAAAGCGAGCAATGGGACACACCGGCAGCGAACTGAGGCACCAAAGCGAAAGAGACACGAGGAGAACCCAACACGGGAGGACTGGGGAGAGACGGAAAAAGTCCCCAAGACGGCCCCGAGGAGCCCCAGAAGGTGCCCGAGACGGTCTCCGAATGCGCCAGACGGCCCGAGAGCACCCTAAGACGGCCCAGGAGAGCCCCAAGGTGGCCCAAAGTGAGCCCCAAGAGGCCCCCAAGCAGGCCCAAATGGCCCAAAATAGGCCCCACGAGCACCCTCTGATGACCCCAGAGAGCCCCTCCCAAGTGTTCCCCCAATGTCTTTTTCGGTTTTAGACCTGCCAGTTACCACTAGTGGTGTCCCCAACGGTTGGGGGAACACGCAGTCCACTAGCACGGCCGCACGGTCGTTCGACATTTCACCACACAACCATTTCCAGAAGTTCCAGAAGGCCAGGGACGGCGGTGACTTGCCGTAGACGTCTTCGATAGCTGTCAGAGACTCTGGCGTCGTCCGTGGTGCTGGAAGGGGCCGCCCAGAAGATGCTATCCCCTGCCTGCTTGCGCCGGAAGTCGTTTACCAGCTGCTCCGGGAGCCCACACAGGCCCCTGGTGACCGTGATTGGCACCTCGAGGTCCCTGGCCGAGGCTCCAAGAAAGCACAGCCACTTGACCCACGTCTGCAATCCAGAGAGCGCGTCTCTATCAATATTCGAGCTGACGTCCCCACACCTGTCGAAGCAAACGCGGGCCGCCCAATTCGATGCGGAGAACATCTGTGGGCAACGACCACCGTTACAGCGTGCACGGTACTCGTTGTATACGGCGTTCCGCAAGGCAGGCTCCTCCATACCAGGGGGGAGCACTGGACAGTCTGGGAAGCCGAACAGTCTGTCGATATCCACGTCCTGCATGGTGTACACCACCCAACAGCACGTGGACAGTAGGCGCCCCTGAAGATCCTCGTGGAGGTGCCTGCGAGTGTACTTCCTCTGCACGCAGCGGCACACCTCTGCGAGCCGCCTCAGACTGAGGAAGGCCACGCCCTCGGGAAGGTCCGCGCGCGCCGCCGCGAGCTCCGCGTCCAGCGAGAGGCCTGCGGCGCGGCCCTGCGACGCCGCCGGGGAGGTGGTCGGGGCGCTGCCCCTCGGCTGCCGCAGGTTCTCGCACAGCTCCTGCGCCAGGGTGCGGCCCTTCTGCTCCCACTGCCGCTCGACGACGGCCATGAAGCCCTCGATCTGACCCGGCGCGCACTGACTGGACACCTGCGCCGCCGTGGCCTTGACGCCCAGGTCGGCGCCCGCAAAGGTCTGCAGCGCGGACCAAATGTTCTTGGCAACGGCCGCCACCGCGTCCAGCATGTCTCGCAACTCCTCCTTCCGCGGCTCCTCTGGCTCAGCGGTAACAGAGCCACGATTCAGGATGGCGTCACCAATTCTTTCCTCGCGCCTGCTGGAAACGCTGAGCGTACGCAGTAGCTTTCTGATTGCGTCCAACGAGCCAGGCTCTCTCCGCTGCTGTAATGCGGCCCCCACCGATAAGAGAACAGCCTTGCAAAATGGAACTAGCCCGACCATACCGAGCGCACTGCTGGCGCCCGAGACCGCCGCGCGCGTCCCCGTAGTCGGCCCAGCGCTGGCGACGGAGAGCCCCAAATAGAGAGCACAAAAGAGCAAGTAGGCGATCAGCACCGCGTCCGTCGCGGTCTTCGGCGGCCTCGGGCAGGAAAACTCGGAGCGGACCTCCTGGGTGTCTTGACCTCTGGGCTGCCGGCACGCGAGCCCGCGACGCAGAAGCACAAGCTGCACTGGCACTAGGAGGAGCACGGAGAAAACTGCGCCCAGGGCGCCAAGCAAGATGTCCTCCAGGAGCGGAACGCCCGACTCGCACTCGCTGCCCAGGTAGAGCACGATCACGACCAGCGAGCCGAACACCTCCCCTGCGACGACCAGCAGGCGAGTGCGGCTCGAGACGAACATGCTGTAGCGGCGCCAGCGGAGCAGTGGATTCAGCGCCAGGAACACGACCCACAGTCTCCGGCAGAGGCTCGAGCGCCAGAACGCGTCGCATACCGACAGCGCCCTCTCGGAGGGGAGCAGCGGCGTCTCTGGGGCCCCGACCTGTTGATTGACGGCATCCCAGCCGGCCACGCCGTGGGCCGGGGCCATCGACACCGCGCCCGCGGAAGCCGCACGCCCCGTGCCGCAGGAGTGGAGAGCGCACCGCCACGAGGCCTCGGCGACCGCGCGCACGGTCCCCAGCGCCAGGTGCTCCTCGCGCGCGAGCGCGCAGTAGGTCAGCTCCTGGGGTATCCAGGCGGGGTCCGCAAGGCTCGCGAGCTGTGAGCAGAGATATGCCATCAGGCTGGGCTGTCTGTCGCACGCGGCCCCGTCGCAGGCAAAGACAGGCCTGCTGTCCGCAGGGTACCGCCGGGCCCACCGCTCATCCGCGCGGCACGCCAGCACCAGCGAGGCAAGAGTCACCAGAAGCAGCACCGTGAAGAGGAGACCAGGCAAGCCGAACGTCCCACCGCCGTCATTCACGCAACTATCTTCTGCGATGACGCTGTTCGCATCCGACACATTTCTCACGTTCTCCTCCGCACCTTCGGTGCTGTTCATGCTGGCGCTCGAGGTGGTACTCGTGCTGGGTGTGCTCGCCGACGTCGTGGTCGTAGTGCCCGTGGTCGAATGTGTGGGTGTGACCGTGGTCGTATTGGTCCTAGTTGACGTCGTGGTCGTAGTGCCCGTGGTCGAATGTGTGGGTGTGACCGTGGTCGTATTGGTCCTAGTTGTGTTCGTGGCTGTGGTAGTGCTCGACGTCGTCGTGGTCGTGCGGGTCGTCGTGGCCGAGGCCGAGGTCGTCGTGGTCGTAAGGGTCGTCGTGTTCGTGCGGGTCGTCGTTGTGTGCGTATTGGTCCTAGTTGTGTTCGTGGCTGTGGTAGCGGTCGCCGTCGTCGTGGTCGTACTGGTCGTGGCCGATGGATTGGCATAGTAACTGTAACCAAAATTAGCGAGCTGGTCTTGGCACGATCCGGTCACTAAGTAGCAAGTGCACACATTGCTGTCACTGCATCGGTCAAACGCATCAGACCGGTCATTGCCATATTCGATGCCGATACATCCGGCTTGTTGCGTACAACCCTGCTGGCACACAGCAAAGCTGACATCGCCGAGCAGCGTGCTCTGACCGCAATCGAAACCATCGCAACACTCCATGCCATCATAAGTAAGTGGCCAGGGAACCTGCATGCCAATGCAACCAAAATGATCGGAGTGAGGGGCCGAACGGGCTTGCACTGCCCCACGCGCGCGGCTGAAGCGGGGCTCCGCGGAGCGGATTGCCACTGCTGATGTTACAGCTGCCGTGGCTGCGTCGCTCCCCGACACCGCGCGCGCGACGCGACCGACCCGCGCGGCGCCCCCGCGGCGCGCCCGCGAACCACCCGCGCCGCGACCCACCCGCGGCAATGCTTCCACCAAATCGGCGCCTGCGGCGGGCTGGCCCGTCCGTGCTGTTATCGAGAACAGCATCCGCGCCAGTGCGCCCGCGCTCAGCACCGGCCTGTGGAGAGCACTCTGGAACGCCCCAGCCCGGGCGCCCTCTCTTTCTCGCCTGCCCGATCGCGGAGGCGAGAGTGTCCTCTGGCAGGGAGGAGTGCCTCCAGCTGCCCGCCGACTCGGGCCCTCCTCCCTGCCGTCCCGAAAGCGTTTTCGGCGCCTGACTACAGTCGGACACAGGGCAGAAGAACATCCTTCAAGAACATGAGACCCTCCGCCGGCCAGAACACACAGAGCAGCCAAGGGTACCTTCCCCAGGATGCACAAGAACATCCAACAAGCACGAAGAGCACTAGGGTACCCTCCCCGAACCGACCTCGACCGTATCCGCATCTGAGGGGGACTGTTCCATCCCACCAGCCCACTGGGTGTAGATGTCTCGGGAGTTCTCTCTCCCAACCCCCTTCCTTCCCTTCGGGGAGACGCTAGTACCCCTCAGCCCTAACCCACGCAGGAGCACTTCCCCACTTGCATGTGGACTGGACGCGGCTGGCTATCCATCGTATTTGGCTGGATGGGCGTGGCGTGGTGCTCGAACGCGCCGTCGCAGACGGGCCGTCGATGCGATCGCCGGGCGAGGCAGCCGGAGAGCTCCAGGCGCACAAATCCAGGGATGCAGGGGCCCTCCTCCTCCGGAAAACGAAACAAACAAGGCTGCTGCAGCAATGGGCACATGGAGCCTTGAGGAAAGGATGAAAATATTCGGACACCCCTGGGAAGAGCACAAGCTCCGATTGTCGGGGCCGTAAAGACAACGACCGGGTGCCGAGCCTGCGCCCGTATGCAAGGGTCCGCCGCGGGTGGAGGCCGACGACGACCCCCTCACGATGCTGCTCTTTTTTGGTGAAAATATTATGCAAAGTAATGTGCTCTCTGGCGTTTCCGTGCCATTTGGTGCTTCCGTGTCTTCTGTTGTTCCAGCTTTGTTGTTGTTCCAGTGTTCCTCGCTATTCTCGTGTCATATGTTCTGATTGTGTCCTCTGCAGCGTCCGTCTGCTCTGCTGTTGTCGCGTTGTTGTGCTCTCGTCTGGTTGTCTTTCCTGGCCCTCTCCAAGCATGGAAGTTGCGCCATGTAGTATGTCGTTACAGACTGATGTGGTTTGTGGTACTGTGTAGTTGAGTGGCCTTTTGGTCTTCACCGTAAAAGCTTCCTGAATCCGCCAGCACCATTGTGAGGCCATCAAGCTGCGTGGCGGAGGTGTCCTGCTTCCTGCACTAGTACCAGTTTCCAGATCTGTCCGCGCAAGGTGGGGGGCCGAGGACCGGCCTGGCCCCCAAGACTGTCTACGCGGGCTCCGAATCGCCGAACGATCGGTTCAAGGCGCGCAAGATGGCTCCCAGACGGCCTCAGATGCCGCCAAGACGCCCCAAGAGAGCTCCAAAAGCATTCCCAAGAGGGCCCCGAGACACCAAAATCCTACGCTCCAAGACGTCCCAAAAAAAACCCAAGAGGGCCCCAAGACGGCCCCAGAGGCCCCCAAGAGGGCCCCAAGACGGCCCAAGAGGACCCCCAGACGGCCCAAGAGGCGCCCAAGACGGTCTCAAGAGGAGCCCAAGAGGGGGAACACGAACCGAAAATCCAAGCCTGCCCCCAAGAGACCCCAAGAGGCCCTCAATAGGCCCCCACGAGGCCTCAAGAGGCCCTGCAGAGGCCCACAAGAGGTCCCGAGAGGCCCCAGAACGGCCCCCCAGAGGCATCAAAACTGCCCTCAGGAGGCCCCCGAGAAGCCCTGACAATATCCCAACGAACATGCAAGAGACCTCAGACTCGAAACCAAGGCACGGTGGCGGGATGGGCAGAAGGCCATTAGATAGTACAAACCGTCGTCGCGTCACCGTTGTGTTGTTTCTGGTCTGCTCATGCAATATCGGTTCGCATATTGGGTTGACGAATTTTCTTGCTGGCTATCAGGAAGGGCTGCCTCTCGAACATGCGATTACAGCACAGAAATCCAAAAATACTAGGTAACGCAACGAAAAGACCGAACACCACAGGATGATTGGGAATAACTCAGGTTTCCCCCGACACCATTCCTGGCACATCGCCAGTACCTCGTGGAGGAGGAGGAGGAGGAGGAGGAGGAGCTGTTGCTGCCGCTGTTGGGGAAACGGTCGGTGATTCGGTCGGCGCAGTAGTCGGTGCAGTGGTCAGGTGCGCAGTCGGTGCTGCAGTCGGAGCGGAAGATGGTGCAGCTGTCGGCGCACTCGTTGGTGGTGCAGTCGGCGCAGCAGTTGGTGCCTCGGTCGGCAGAAGCGTCGGTACTGGTGTTGGGGAAGCGGTGGGTGCTGCTGTCGGTGCAGAACTCGGTGCTGCTGTCGGTGCAGAGCTCGGTGTAATCGTTGGTGCCGCAGTCGGCTCTACTGTTGATGCCACTGTGGGGGAAGCAGTGGGTGATGAGGTCGGCGTAGCAGTCGGGGATGTCGTCGGTGCTGCTGTTGGCGCGGCTGTCTGGAGGAGGAGGAGGAGGAGGAGGAGGAGGAGGAGGAGGAAGGGGAGGAGGAGTGAGGAGGTGACGCGGGGCGCTGTCTCTTCAAAACGAGGGCCCAACACCACAGGATGGCTGGAAAAAATACGAGGCCACGCGACCGGAAGACAAGTACGGGCACCGCCGTGGCTGCGCAGCGCTGGCCTGCGAGCAGGAACGCGACGACCGCAGGCACCAGGCGGGCCATCGCGGCAGCGGCGCCCCTCGTTGAACCAAAAGGGGCACGGCCGCTCGCCTGCTCGCGCGCGCCTTGGCACCCGTGTTCGCTCTCGCCCAGAGCCCGCTCGACGACCCAAGGACCCCTCACGCGAGCCGCGCTCTTTCGCGGCGGCGAGGGAGACCCTTCGCCGCCCCCCTCCCCGATGACTTGGGGCCGGCTGGTGGTTTTCAGGGGCGACCTTAGTTAGGGGGAGGGTGCCTTGCCCCCCCCCCCCCCCGTCGGGGGCCTTCCCACCGAGATAAGGGGCTCCTCACCTCGAGGCCGGCGGTGACACGCAGGCCTCTCTGGCGGCCAGTAGATCCACCTCCGTGCCGCAGGCATTGAGTGGCGTGTCCTCCTGTCCCCTCGAGCTCTCTGCGTTGAGCGTTGCACACACTCTTCAAGGGACCCAAGCCGTAGCTTTCTGAAACGCTCGGGCCCTCCGGGGTGCTCTTGCACACTTCCGGGGCTCGGGCCGTGCCTGGGGGGGATGGCTAAAAGAGACCGTCCTGGGGCTCTCTTGGGGGGCCTCTTGAACCTGGGGGGCGGTCCCAAAGGCAAAATGCATCGAAAAGCTGTGAAACATGTGCACCAGTTTCGCGAACTCGCCTCTTCGGTTCTTCGAGCGTCCAGGAAGGCCCGAGAGGCCCCCGAGAGCGGGTCCAGACGACCCCCGAGCCCCCGAGGCCTCCAAGAGGAAAGCTCGGAGTCCACGAGGCTCAAGAGGCCGTCCAAGAGTCGAAGGAGCCGCTTCTCCACGACCCAGGCGCAGCGGCCAGACGGGCCGAAGGCCACTGGATTGCCACCAACACCGAAATCGGAGGCCATCCTCCCTCGGTGGAGGCAGCCGCCGATGCAGCGGTCGGTCTCGTGAGCGGTCGGCGTCGCAGGCGAACGCTAGCCCAACGGGCGGGCCAGGCGGGCGGGCCCCCAACGGGCGGGCTGCGCGGGCGGGACACCAGAGCGGGCGGGCGGGGCCGGCGACCGGGCTGGCGGACCCTCACGGGCGGGTGGTCGGGCCAGCGGACCCGAACGTGCGGGTCGAGCTAGTGAGAGGCCTCCTAGATGGAGTCGGAGTAGATAGGGTCGGAGGATCGGGGCGCATCGCCGACACATCGGCGATGCATCGTCGACGTGGGCGACGCATCGGCGACGTCCGCGTGAAGCAAATCGGGCTCCACATCGAGCCGCATCGGCGATGCGTCGGCGGTGCCGGCCCGATCCTCCGACCCCATCTACTCCGACCCCATCTAGGAGGCCTAGACTGGTGGACTCTGACGGTCGGGTCGGGCGGGCGGACCCTGACGCACGGGGTCACGCAGGGTGGGCGAGCGGGCCAGACAGCAAACGAAACACGAAAGCGGGCGGGCGAAGCCGGATGGATGAGACCGACCGCGGGGCGAAACCGACCAGGCGAAACCAACCGCGGCGAAGCCGACCGATGGCGAAGCCGACCGATGGCGAAGCCGACCGATGGCGAAGACGACCGATGGCGACGACGACCGCGGCGAAGCCGACCGATGGCGAAAGCGGCCAGGCCTTCCGCAAGCAGCGGCGAGCAGGCCTGGCGGAGCCCGAGCGAGGGCCAGCCGCGGAGGGAGGACGAGGAGGGCGAGGACGAGCAGGAGGGCAAGGACGAGCAGGGCGAGGAGGACGAGGAGGACGAGGAAGAGGAGAGCGACGAGGAGGACGAGGACGAGCAGGAGGGCGAGGAAGACGCGGACGAGGAGGGCGAGGAGGAGCACGGAGCGAGGATGAGGACGGGCAGCTGAGCATCGTTTGACCGATCCCTGTCCCCCCATGGTGTGGCCTGGGCCCCACTGGCCGATGTACTACCCCTAGATGGGGAGACGGGCTGTTCCCTGCGGGTGTCGGACGACATGTCCTCAGCTGGGGTGGTGGGATGGTAGGGATCGAGATGGGGATTGGGGAAACCAAAAGACACCGATGCCGCTACTCCCCGGACCTCTGCCGGGGCGTTCTCTGCCCAGAATCTCGAGGCGAATCCAGCGGTGGCGACGGGGGCCTCCCAGGAGGCCCAGAAAAGGGAGAACGGGCGAAGGGTAGCAGTATCGGTACCTCTTCCTCCTCTGAGGAATGGGGGACGCAGCCGGACCTAGGACAGAAGAACATCCCTCAAGAGCACGAGACCCTCCGCCGGCCAAAACGCACAGAACATCCAAGGGGTACCCCCCCGCCAGGACGCACAAGAACGTCCCGCAAGCACGAAGAACGTGAGGGCGCCCTCCCCGAACCGACCTCGACCTTATACCTCGGCCCGACTGCAGGGATCGGTCAAACGACGCTGAGCAGCAGCAGCGGGAGGAGCGCGCGCGGGCGCAGCAGCAGCAGCAGCGGCAGCAGCTTCCTAGCCCTGAGGACGCTTGACTTTTTCCGCGCCCCTTCGCCTCTTGTCCGCTTGCTCTTCCCTTGCCCGCTCCTTCTCCGCTTGCTCTTCCCTTGCTCGCTTCTTGTCCGCTTGTTCTTCCCTTGCTCGCTTCTGGCCCGCTTTCCCTTTCTTCTCTTCGGTGTGCAGCAGCCGCTTCTTGCCCGCTTGTTCCTCCCCTGCTCGCTTCTGGCCCGCTCTCCCTTTCTTCTCTTCGGCGTGCAGCAGCCGCAGCGGCCGCAGCGGCCGCGGCGGCCGCGGCAGCAGGGGGCGGCGGGGAGGAGGAGGAGGAGGAGGAGGAGGAGGAGGAGGAGGAGGAGGAGGGAGGAGGAGGAGAGGAGGAGGAGAGGAGGAGGGAGGAGAGGAGGAGGAGGAGGAGGAGGAGGAGGGAGGAGGAGGAGGAGGAGCGGGAGCGGCAGCGGGCACCGCGCGAGCCGGCGCCCTCTCCGGCGGCGGAAGGGAGCGAGCGCGCGCCCCGCGGGGCGTCAGTCGGCGCTCCCCGCCGGCCGGCGGCTGCCAGGCGGCGGGCCCAGGAGCCACCTGCCGGGCGTGTGTCGGCAGCGAGCGGGGTCGAAGCGACCTCCTCCTCCTCCTGCTCCTCCTCCTCCTGCTCCTGCTCCTCCTCCTCCTCCTCCTCCTCCTCCTCCTCCTCCCCCCCCCTCCTCCTCCTCCTCCCCCTCCTCCCTCCTCCCCCTCCTCCTTCGCCTCCTCCTCCTCCTCCTCCTCCCCCTCCTCCACCCGGGGGGGAAAAGCGAGGAGGAGAAGGCCTTCTCTTCGGACGCCCGAAACGGGTACGGAAAGAATGGGCACAGTGCCCCACAGCACATGCTGTCCCAAACCAACAGCGGCCGCTGTTGGGCAGGCGGCCGTTTGTCTCGAATGGACAAAGGGCCGCGGCGGCGCGAACAGCGAGCATTGTGCCCAGTCTTTCCGTAACCATTTCGTTCGCGCCGATTCTCAGAAGGTTTGGAAGTCCTCCGGCCTTCTGGGAAGTTTCCTGAGCCTTCCCAGAAGGCACGAGAACCTCTCAGAAGGCGCGAGGGCTCCTAAGAAGCCCCGCCGTCTTCTGAGAAGGCCTTCTCCTTCTCATTTCCCCCCCTCGCTCGTCGCCGAGTGTTGCCAGGAGTGCTCCTGGCCCCAGGTGCCCCCAGGGTCTCCAAGGAGGCCCCCACGGCCTCCAGAGCACCCTTCACGAGGTCCAGGAGGGCCCCAAAGACGCCAAAATTGAGCGAAAGTCCAGGGGCGCCTTGGGCCAGGGGCACCTCTGAGCGACGAAAAGATGCGGGTCTTACGCGAGATGACCTACAGCCAACCCGTGCAAGAAGGACGCACGGTGTGGATACGAGGGCTTTGGGAGGCCACGTCGACACCTTTCGAGCGAGGCGCGGCCAACTAAAGTGGCCCAGGATGGACCGAGGAGGAAAGGATGCAAGGGTACCCCTTGGGAAGGTTGCCCATCCATACTATGCGGGTTGACTGTGGCGAACTTACGCGGCGGCTTACCCGGGCCGCCAGCGCGGCACGCTACATTCGAAGCGACTCACGCGCGACCTTACGCGGGCAGGTCACGCGCCAATGTCCGTGCCGATCCCCATCTTTAGGCGTCGCTCACCTGTGGGAAAGCCAGAAGACACTGATACCGCCTAAGCCGCCCCGATGCGCAACACGCCACCCGTAGCGTGTTGGCATGGGGAGCAACACGTAGACTGCAAATGTAGGTCTGTCGCGAGAGGTCGGCCAACACGTGCCGGGCCAACACGTGCCGATGTATAACTTGTTCCGTCGCAGCACGGCAGAGGCAACCTGCACGGGCGCTCGCAGCAGTCCTCACGCGGCGTGTTCCCACGGACTTTTCGGCCACGGTATCAAAACGAGCGTATCGGGGCGGCTGAGGATACCGCTACTGCCTGGACCTCTCCCAGGGCGCGTTCTGACCTGGATTCCGAGGCGACTCCAGCCGAGGCGACGAGGGCCTCCCGGGAGGCACAAAGCAGGCGACGACGAGGCAGGCACAGCGGCTTCGACGCCGCTCCCCGGGCGGCGGGCCCGCGGGGGCAGCGAGGGAGGGCGCGGGCCCCCCCGGCAGGCGGCGGGGCCCCTCGGGAGCCCCTGGCCTCCCGAGAAGCCGCCCCTGCCCCCCGGGGAAGGCTCAGAGCACTGCTCGGAGGGCCGGGGGCCCTCCGAGCCTCCCGGGAGAGGCTCGCCCCCCGCCCCCGCCGGGCGGCCGCCCTCCCCCCCCCGGGCTCGCCGCCGACTGCCCTCCGAGCCTGCGCAGGCGCCGCCACGGCGGCCCCTCGCCCGTGGAGAAGAGCGCCAGCGCGGCGTCCTCCCGACGCCGCTGCTCTCTCGGCTGCACGGCGGCGCGGGCGCGGCGGATGCGGGTCGCCGAGGCGGCGGCCTCTAGAGGAAAAAGAACTATGCACATGCACCGATTCTGGCCAGGCCCATCCTGAGCCCAGGATCGGTGCATACTTCCTCCTACCTTGGCCAGGAAGGCATATGCACCGATCCTGGGTCAAAGATGGGCATTGCCAGGATCGGTGCATGTGCATAATTCTCTTCGCCCGAGCCTCGGCCGCGCGGCACCGCTGCAGCCACGCCACCAGCAGCGCCGAGTAGTCGCCCCGGGAGCTGCCGCCCGCCGGGCGGAACTCCCGCACGGCCCGCGCCTGGACCCGGGCGGGCGAGGCCAGCAGGTAGCTGCGCGCCCTGCTCGGGGGGGGGGGGGGCGGCGGCGCGGCGTTACAAGGGAGGTGGGGCAGGGGCAGGCCGTGCGGGTGATGCTCAGCATGCTGGAGCATGCCATGCAGCGAGCAGACCTGGTGTCGTCCGAGCACCATCAGCTGCCGCTCAGCCAGGACCCGCTCGGAAGCGCGCGCTGCGCCGCCACACTCTCACAGCCTGACTTAGGATGACCCTTTGGCATGCTTCGCTTTTATAGCGTAATGTTCCTGCCCTGTCCACGCACCGCCTGGTGTACGACTCGGTTGCTGCTGCTGATGCTGCTGCTGCTGCTGCAGGGGCAAGCCCCCCCCTCTCCTCGCGTTGCGAAAAAGAGATCAACGACAGATAGTGTTGTCAATTCTCGGCCTCGGGGGGCCCCCTGGGACCGTCAAAGAACGACTCAGGATGAAAATCTGGTGCTGGGAGGGGATCCAAACCGAAGGGGGGGGGGCACGTTGTTAAAAAACATGACGTCAGATGTCTGGGGATGTGGGGCTATCGCACCAAACAACCAGCTCCTGGACGACGGAACCGTGAGCATCCAGCTGGGTCCGTTCCCTGACCCCACCTTGGGAGAACCCCCCCTCTACCCTGACATCCGACGCCTTGTTTCCCTTCAAGACGTGACCCCTGGAGGGCTGGACCCCTTCCCCAGGATAGGTTTTTCATCCGAAGTAATTTGTGAACAGTCCTGGGGCCCGGCGAGGGCCCCCGAAGGCCGAAAATGCGCAAAACCGTCCGTCGCGCTTTGTTTGACAACGCGAGGATGTGAGACGGGCGTTGGCAGGACTGAGCTCACTGGAACCCAATTCAATAATGGGCACCGGGGGACGCCCCCCGCCACATTCCACCCCCGGCACTCGAAGGAACATGAGCTACGGCGAACCTGGTTTAGTGATTCTGGCTCATTTGGGGGGGGGCTCCGGGAACAAATCACTACCTGGCTCCCTTTACCTGGGGTTCTGGCTATATCCGACACAGGTTGTGACAAGCCCCCGACCTGTCGTCCACAGGAAAGACTCGGCACAGCTCCTCGGCCTTGGGGTGCGCGGCCGGCGCGGACCCGTCGGCGGCGCCCGGGGCCGCGCTCGCCTCCAACACAGCCAGCTCCTAGAGGCATCCTACATAGGGTCCGCGCACATGAAGTCGGAGGATCGCGCCGATGCATCGGTGACGTAGGCGATGCATTGCCGACGTCGGCGTGGATAAAATCGGGCTCCACGTCGAGCCGCATCGCCAATGCATCGACATTGCAGCGCGATCCTCCGACCCTATCTACTCGGACCCCATCTGGGAGGCCCAGAGCTCCGCCACCGCGGACACGGGGTCCCCGCGCAGCGCGTGGCGCCAAGCCGCCGCGAGGGCCGCGTGGCGGTCGCGCGACGCGGCCAGCCAGGGCTGCAGCTTGGCCTCCTCGATGGCGTACCTCGGGGGGGACGAAGAAGGTTTGGATCTCGACCAAAGGGGGGGGATGAATGGGGGAGGAGAAAGGTGCACCTTTCGGACCCTGAAGGCCTCCTTTGGGGCCCTAAGGGGCCCTACGAGGCCCCTTTTCTGCTGCCCTCGCTGCCCCCCACTTTACCGCCCCCCCCCCATACGCGACGTCCAAAAGGTATCGAGACCTCCGCTCCCCAGATTTCCAGCGAGGCGCTGCTTTTCAGCCCCAGCGGTTTTCCTCGACGTCGGCCCCTGGGGCCCGCCATCGGGCCGCGGGACCTTCAGAAACGCAACCGGAACGAAAAACAATTCCAGGGGAACTGGTCGGGGCCTTCGGGGACTACTCTGGACGGGGTATTTATCGAGGGGAGGGGGGGGTATTGTCCACCTGAGCTTGCCCAGTCCCGCCACCCTCCATCCTCCTCCCCCTCCTGTATCCTGCATCCTGTCGGCAATGGTGCTCGGTGTTTTCGGAACGGTGCCGCTTCCCCAAGGGGGGCCCAGTCGGGCCCCCCTGGGGAGTAGACGACAAGACAAAATTAGGGGCCGAGCCCCCTCAGGACAGGGGAGAGAGAAAGGAGAGACATGTCCACATCATCATCATCATCATCATCATCATCATCATCATCATCATCATCATCATCATCATCATCATCATCATCATCATCATCATCATCATCATCATCATCATCATCATCATCATCATCAGCATCAGCATCAGCATCAGCATCAGCATCAGCATCAGCATCAGCATCATCATCATCATCATCATCATCATCATCATCATCATCATCATCATCATCATCATCATCATCATCATCATCATCATCACAACCTCAAGAGGAAAGGATGAAGAGGTGAATGGTGGCGGCAGCAAGTGTGCGGCGTGGCAAGAATGCAAGAGTGGGCGGGGCCCCTGGGGGCCAGGATTTCTTGTGGCTGCGCTGGGTCCTTTTTCCTTCGGGTTTATTATCCCCTTGGGGCCAGCGCGCCCTGGAGAGCGCCCAGGGTCCCCCTCTTCTGAGGTGTCCTCGTGTTCTCCCGCACGGTTTGCGGCTGGGGCCTGCAAGTTGCCGGCTTGCCCTCGCGAGGACAGCCGCGTCGCGTCGGCGGAGCGTCCTCGGCAGCACTACTTGACAGCGCGGTGGAGTGGCAGAGTTCAAAAGAAAGTGGGAGGCAAGTGGAGGCGCTGGGGCAGGCTATGAAAAATGGGAGGCAGGTGGATTCGCGGGGGCCTCTGCGGGGTGCCGCTCGCAGCGGGGAATGGCCGATGGGCCTCTCCCTCTGCCCACAGGAAACCCCCACAGGCGACCCAGAGGCCGACGGCGGGATCCCTCGCCGCTTGCACGCGCAGGGTCCCCAGCACGTCGGCCTCTTGGCCGCCCTGGGGGCGCCCACCGAGCGCGAGGGAGGTTCGGACCCTCCCCCCTATGGCGGCGCGAGGCAGCACCGGCCGCGCTAGCCAAGGTGGATGGCAAGAAGGCCTCACCCCCCGCACATGGGAAACCCCCCCAAGCAGCCACCATCCCCATGACTGGCACCCTCCCCGCCGCGGCAGGAAGAAGGCACCGGGATCATGGGAGCGGTGGCTGCGCGGGGGGGGGTCCACCGTGCGCGGGGGTGGTTTCTGCCATCTGCGGCGGTGGCGCGGGCGCGTGGTTCTCTAAATCTGGGGGCCGAGGAAGGTTGATGGAGGTGAGAAGGTGCCCTGGTGGCAGCTGAGGGTGGGAAAGCGCCCGCGGCTGTGGCTGCGGCCGCCATGTCCCTAGCGCGGGCAGTTGGCGGCGCGCCCGTTCCCTCTCCCCGCCCATGTCCGACCGCTACCCCACCACAGGAGGAAAGGGTTGCAGCGGTGGGTTGGGCAAGGCGGGGGGTGACGGGGGCTGCAAGAAGGCAAGCTGGTAGGTAGTGGAGGTTGCCAGGGCCCTCAGACGCCGCGGGTGAGCGTGCCCCTCGGGGACCCACGCGCTGCCGGTAGCAATGGTATGCACGCAAGTGGGTGCGACGGCACCGCAGGCGCCCACGCTGTTAAAAGTCGTCACTGATGTTCTCGCTGTAAGAGTACTACCGCAGAGAAGATATAATCCCACGCCACCAGCTATGCTGCTTCCGTTTCACGGTGAGTGCGCACGTGTCGGTAAAAGGATACTGCAGAGATTGGAATGGGTAGGTAGCAGCTGGCAGTCCTGTCTGCTGCGAAGCAAGAAGTAGGCACGTGAAGAAATAGCACACTGGTTGGCCGCCGTCTGGCTGGCCCGATCGCGAGGGTTACCTCGCGCTGTGGGCGATCAAGGGGAAGTCTCCTTATTCACCGTAGTTGGGTCGCGCTGGTCGCGCTGGTTCGCCTTGGCGGCGTCTGCGGAGGTCGGCCGTGCTTTCCACGGATCGGGGCCGTAGACTGGGAAGGCATCCTCGTCCATCTCCTGCTGATAGTTCTGGTGGACGACGCCGCGGCGCCCGTCTGCGGGTCATGACTTGACCAGATTCGATTCACGAGGCGCGCGGGATGCGTCCCGCTCCGCACTGCGTTCAATAATCATGCTGCGGATCACAGCAGCGGCGTCGCAGTCGTCGTGGGTGGTGCGCTGCTTGCTCTGGCGTGGTCCTGGACGGCGCTGCGCGGCGCTGCTCCGTTCAGTTTGGTCCGCGGTGGTCGCGGCCCACTGCGGCTGCCAAATTGGCGTTGATGGTCTGCCCCACTGCCGTCGGTCCGGATGTCAGCGGCTGGTGGCCCTGCTGTCGACCTTGGAATGGCGCGGTCCCGATGTGCTCGTCGGCAAGTTGCAACAGGTCGAACACGGTCGGTGGATCGGGTTTCGGCTGTCGATTATGCCGATGCTGTGGTTCGCCCTTGGGCAAGGGGTCTGGTCGTTGATAAGCTCGGCCAACTTGACCACTGCATCGATTGCGATTTTCCACTGTAAGTTTGTGGCGAGTAATGGCGTCGGCGTGGATGCGGGGTTGCGTTGCGTGGCTACCCCGATATCCATGAAGATGTCTCTCTTCGGATGTGCCACTTCTACTGGCTCAGGGATGCCGCGGCGGCTGCGGTGCTTCAGGTAGTTCAACAAATTGGCCAGGTAGCGGTTGGCATAGTTAACCAAATCCTGTTGTCGCTGGGTCACGTGGAAGGGGCCCCCATCCCGCAGCTCGTCGGTCTTGCGGTAGCTGTTGAGAGCTCCTTCCCCGTGCGCCATGATCTGGTCGTACTCGATACGGTCTGCGCCCGTTGCCGCGTCCCGGTTGGTCTCCGCTGTGTCAGCCAAATCGAGCATCTAGTCGACATTGTGAGCGATCGCCCCGCGGGAATGCATCTTGGACATCACCCTCCCGCAGTCGCATACGTCGTTGCTGATCACAAAGGTCAAGCGCTCCATGACGTCGTGCATGCGTTCCTTGGCCCCCACTTCTCTGGTCATGCGTGGCGGCGGCGGGGGTCATGGTCGGCGGGCGGGCTCGATGACCGCGCCCCTGTTCCGATTGACCTCGCCGTTGGCCCCCGGGGGGGTCGTCGCGCCCAGGTTTGGCGCGGCTTGTTTTGTTGATGCCCCCTGGTTGCTCCTGTGGTTTCGCGGGGTGGCCGGAGGTGGCTTTGATGGTACTTCCTGCCACGGCTGCGGGGTGCTCGGCTGATTGTCCTCGCTGCCGCATGAGCCGCCTGCTGTGGTCAGTTGCCTGATGGGCGCAAGCATTATGAGAACTGGTGGAACTTTGTAGCGTGGCTGGGCGTTCGCGGCGCGCGCGCGGGTCGCTGGCGTCGTTGGCGTCACCGCCGCTGGTGCTTCGCGGTCATTGGGATGCGCACGTACATCGCTGCCGATGTCTGGCCCTCCGCGGCTGGAAGACGCCGCGCCCTCCGTCGTGGTCGGGGCGGCCAAAAGGTCGGGCAGCAGCGCTGCCATCGCGGGCGCTTGCTGTCTGTTCCCTGAGGGCACGGCATGCGCGCGGTCAATCGTTGCGGAGCACGGCCGCGCTGCGCGGATCTCCGCGATGACCATGAGCACCCCCTGATTGGCGCCGACGTTGTCGTCGCGGCTGGAGAAGAATATCTGCGCGAAGCGGCCGCTGTCGGTGTCGGAGCGCTTCAGGTAAATCACAGAATTGTCGCTCATATGGTCGGCTGCTGCCTGAAGTCGGCCCACGCTGGCCCTGAAGTCATATTCGTCGCAGCACGTCGTGAGGGCGGACCCGAGGGGGCGATTCGACAGTGAAGAACACAGCCTGCGGCGATGGCGACCGCTGCCTCGCGGGCGTCGGAGGCGTCGGAGGCGGCGGCGGCTGCGCCCTAGTAGACATGGCCATCGGCGGGCACCGGGTGACTTTGTAGTTCGCGCCGCAGAACCATTCCACATTGTCGGCAGATTAAGCTCTCCTCCGGCCTGGTTAGGAGCACGTTGCCTGGGTCTGTCCACGCGGTTTCTCTGGTGCCCTGGCTGAGATAGTACACCTGGAAATTCCACGCGAAGTCGGTGCCCTCGTACATGTAGGCGATCCATGGCTCGGGTATTGGTAGACAACGGCTGGGTGCTACTGGGAGTCCTTCAGGGAATCCAGAGCGTCGGGTTGCTTCATCGAAGGCATGTGTTTTTCAGATCGGACAGTCCGGCGGGCAGAATGTCGGCCGCGGGTTGTTCGGCGGTGGGGGCTGGGACTGGGTGGGCGTCCGGTGGGTCGGATGGGCGAAATTACCTTGTTGGTTGTCTGTGGGACTGCTGGAATTCATTGCTCACGTCTTGGTCGCCCGCGTCTTACAGTGTGAGCGCTGCTGTGGAGTGGAACGATGGTGATTGCAAAGATACGCGTTGCGAACCCGTTGAACTGGATCTCCGCCTCGCAGCCGCCCACCTGGCTTTCGTTACAGAACGCCCTCAGTCTGCGCAGGGCGCGGAAGCCCACTCGGCGGATGTCGGGAATGATGCGAGACATCAGGTCGCGGGCGTCGGCGACCATCGCCTGCGCGCAGCCGCGGGCAAGGACGCCAGCCAATTC